GGCGGCCGCCGGCAGGCCCCAGAGCCGCGGGGCCGGCGCTGCCCACAGGCCGCCGCCCCGTTACGCACCTGCCTCGCCCGCTGCAGCGCGTCTTTAAAGGCATCATTGACCCCTCCGCCTCCGCCGCCGCCTCCCCCGGGCGCGCCCGAAGCGGGAGGGGGCACCGTGGAATAGTCCGCCATGGCCGCTCGGCCTCCGCTTCCTGCCCCGCTCGCTGCCTGCCAAGAAAGAAAGAAAATGGCGGCGGGCGGGAGCCTTTCACATTCCTGCGCGGCATCGTGTTCGGGGGGGGGAGGGGGGGAAGTAACCTCGCGAGACCCCCCCGGAGGGGTGGGGCGAGATTTCCTAGCTGTTGGTGAGCCGGGAGAGGAAGTCTCGCGTAGCTTCCTCGGGGTCTGATCTCGAGACGTCCTTCAAGGGGCCCGGGATGGGAATGAGAAGAAAGGTCTCGCGAGGTTTGTGCCGAGAGACGGGATCGAAGAACGCTCCGCGGCTAAGGGGCGGGAATCTGTCGAGGTGATGGGGTGGGGAGAAATCTCGCGAGACTGGCGGATGGACGTGCGGTGCTGTGGCAATCTGGCGCTGAAGCGCATGCGTGGAGACGCTGACAGTGGGGCAGACCCGGGGAATCGGCTGAGGCGGTTTCAGCTGAGCGAAGCGGCGGGGGCGGAGGCGGAGGCGGAGGTCGGTGCCCGGCCGGGCGGGGCGGGGCGGGGCGGGGCTGGCGTTCATCCATCCATCTTGCTGCCGCGTGCCCCGTACAGGTACCGCCCCCGCGTCCCGTCCCTGCGCTGCTGCCGGGACCGGGGGCGCTGGTGTCTCGGGCTCGGTGACTGTCGCTCGAGCATTGGCAGCGCGGTGGGGCCCCTCCCCGCCCCGGGGCGCCGGGGGGGGAGGGGCTGAGTTCAGCGCTGCGGGCTCTGGTCTTGTCTTGGGGTGCATACAGAAGTGACAGTTTTCGCCTGCTCTGGCCTCAGAAAGCAGTTGACAGCCATGACCGACCACAAGTGCACGGCTGCAGACAGCTTCAAAAATGGCCGATCAGGTGAAAATCGGACTCGCGTATCGGATGAGGGGGGGTCAGACGAAGGCGTTTCAAAATAGAGCATTTTTGTAACCTCTGTCTGTGCCGCCTGCCAGCCTCCAGCTGTCTTCAGAATGGGATGGGGGAAGAGACCAGAGGAAGGGGGGGGGACGTTCAGCCCCTGCTGGAGGGTGAGGTTGGTGTATTGGAGCAGGCTGAGGAGCTCATAGAAAGTGGCCTTTGGCCCTCCTCTTCTGAAACAGGGACAGGTTGGGAGAGAGGAGGGGCTGTTGCTAGGGGAAACCGGCTGCAGGCATCAGCCAGGTATTTGATTGCCCTCCCCCTGAAACCAACAGTGAACTTCTGTTTGGTCCAGCGGGTCCTTTAAAGTGCTTCCTGCAAAGCCTTCTGAGTTACAGTGGGGAGCTGCACTTCTGTCTGCACCCTTACAAGCTAAATTTTTCATGACCTTCCTGTCCAATGTGCTTTTCCTCTCTGTTGTAGTAACCATGTAACTGAAGGGAAAATGAAAAATGTGTACTGAAAGTGACAGACTTTTTGCAATTCCACAAAGGATGATCAGATGATGAAGAGAACCATTCTTCCTTTATGGGGGGCAGGGCGGGTTTGTGGAGGAGAGAGTCTCTTCCTAAATACACTTACTAATTAACTTCACTCCAGGGAGGTGGAAAGAGACAGTTCCATATTGGCCTCTCTGCCTTCTAATTTCAAGGCAATTACAATGGGAAACTTATTTAAATGTGATTCTTGAGACTAAATTTTTAATTACTGCAACATTCAAAGGTCTCTGCTTGTATTGAGTGTAGTATCTGCTGGTAAGTAAAGCTGAATTTCACCTGAAAAAGTTTCTTGCTAAAAACACTTATTTATGTTCAACTGGAACACTTTGTAAGCTTATGTGATTGTTTGGTGGAGGGAAAAAAATCTGAAACTTTGTCTTTTTTCCCCAAAACTATTTCATTTTTCTATTTCTGCAGCAAAGTACTTAGCTTTTTTTCAAAACAGGGTTTTCATTTCAAAATTTACCTAAACTCAGTGTTAAAAAGCTGTTAACACTAAAAGGTTTTTGGCTAAATGTTTTGGATTAAATTATTTAAAAAATAGAACATCTTGTTTCTTGTTCTGGTAAGTGAAAAGGAGTTTATGTAGTTAGTAGCAAAATGTATAGCTCATGGGTCTGATCTGGACTGTGGAACAGCAGTATCCAGCCTGGGGGTGACTGGGTGCTGCCTGCTACTGCAGCCTGGGGTATCCTTTGGGGGTATGCATTGACAGTTGGGGATGAGCAATGGCTGTGTTAACCACCACGGCTGCCACTGCTTATCCCACCACTGCTGCACCCAGACCCAGCCTGTCAAGTGCAAGTTCAGAAGCTATTGGCTGCCCACACATTTGAATGTTAAAAACAGTTAATGGCTAGAGTACTGGACTGAGACTTGAAAGAGCTCAATTCTCTTCCTTATACCACTATCTCTATTCCTCAATTTTCTTACCTATGAAAAGGGATAATGATCCTTTTTGTAAAGTTATTTGAGATCTGCTGATGAAAGGGGGTTATAAATGCCAAGAATTGTAACAGGAAACTTGAGGCAATGGTATCACTGCCTACTCTGTTCTTATTTTTGGCATGGGTACTGAATAAACCTATTCTCCAGGTAGGTTCCTTAACACCAGTTAGATTGTCTTTTAATATTTTACTAATCCCTGTCTGGTATTCCACATAGATACCTTATGCTGATGCATTCCTTTAGGAGAGCAAAGCAATTCCCCTTCTAATGTAAGGTTTTTCATGTGTGTCTGGCTGTATGGGTTTTTGAATAAAGAATAGAAGATTTATTCTGAGTCCTGAGAATTGTGGCAACAGTTATTTTCCTTTGCAGCCTTTTCAGATATATAAGCTCAAGAAAATTGCAGAGGCACTCTTACTTAAATATTTCAACCATATTTCTTGTTGTTTTTTTTTCTCCCCTCTCTGAACTTCTCAGTCTGATCCAATGAACCTTTTCCCCTTTTATCAGTTTCTTTGTCACTAGTGGCTTTCATCTATACTTCCCTTGATAGGTTCTAGCATAGAGGTCTTTCTCCCAGATTCCTTTTAACATCCCTACTAGTGCTTCTCTTGCACATTAATCTGCTTATTAAATGCCATTTTTGTTGAGATGATGGCTCTCAAAGGATTATTCCTTCTCTTGCAACTGGGACTTGTTTGCAGACAAACAAGTCAACAGTATGAACTACAAAATCCTTCTCACATAAATTACGTATTAATAACATTAAAAATACTCTCGTAAGCAAGATGCACAGTTGGTTTGCATTGAAAACTATGGCAAAGAATGTGGCAAAACCTACAATAAAAAATATTCAGAAATAGATAAGGAGCTGTCAAAAGATAGATACTTCTGTGTGATTGCCTTGAAGGTTATTTGCATTTCCTGTGATTATTACTTATGCATTGTAGTGATAAGTGTTTCCCTCTAGGAACTGATGGCAAAAAGTAGTTCTACAGCACTTCTGACGATCTTTCAGATATCGAGCAACCAGCCTAACGTTGATTGCAGAGAATTTTACTTTGCTTTTTAAACCATAGAAAAATATGGATGGAAGGGACTTCGTGGTCATTTAGGTTAGCTGCATAGTCCAGGCAGAATAATCCCTATCTAGTCCACCTCAGACTATCTGCACTTAAGCCTCTACAGGTTGCATATTTTTAGCAAATTTCATTTCTTTTTAGAAACTGATCTCTCTATTTTTGAGCCCAGGTTTCTTTTCAGTTATGTGCCAGATGTATAATTTATATATCAAAATCTTCCTGGAGGCAGTTTAATTAAAAAAACAAAAAACAAAACGGGTGGTAAAAACCATAATGCATTATGTATGTATGGAAATAATCCCTAATATAATGGACAATTCTGAAGTAAGCATAGTATAAATATCTTCTTTTCAGTATAAATCAAAAACTCATCAGTACACAAAGGTTATGCTACAGTGATTGCTTCTGCTCCAATATCTGTGGCTTTTCCAGTGACTAACCCTGTATATATGTATGGGAAAAACATTTAACATGCACAGTATGCTCAAGTTCCATGAGGATATTAGAAGTATCAGAACAAAGCAGCATCCCCAATCTACCTGCCTCCGTCCAGAAAATTTTTTTTTTTTTGAGGGGGCATGGTTGCAGTGGGGATACTGCATTGTTCTCAGGAATTGGTTGCTTGTGGAGGGTTTAAAATTTAATTTCTGGAAAATTTGCCAGATTGAAAAATGACTATATATTTCAAGTGCAAATAGAGAGAGAATTATATCAACACTTCAGTTCATGTAGACAAACCTAAGCTAATTCTAAATTAGTTGCCAATACATTGGCAGGTCAAAGGAATGAAGAATTCGGGTGTAGAGGGGAGTTGTTTCCGATCTCCTCGTGGAACTTTAGCATACTGAGCATGCTGCCTAGAGTGCTGACAAACCTACTTGGACTATATAAAGTGGATATAAACATTTGATAAAGGAAATGCCCCATACCTTTGATCATAGCCTAATATGTACCACTAATACATTTGCGATCCTGGATGGATCACAAAAAATTTAATTTCCTTGTTTCCAAATGCCTGAGAGAGAAGTGATACCTAATTATGGCTTGAGGGTATCCAGTGCATACTGTCTTATATTAGAGACAGTGGTGTGGCATCTTGTGTTAGAGAACATGGTGTTCCTAAATTTGCTTTTGTGGAATAACAATAAGCAGTTTCTCAGTTTACTTTGATATGAAAAAATGGAAACCTCCTATAAGTAACTATTAGAAGACTGAAGAACAGAATGAGCTATTTAAAATAATTGCTTAGCTATTCCTTCAATATCTTTTTACATGTCCTGTATTTTTATAAGGCACCTATTGTCAGGTATAACCCTCACCTTTTCCCCAAAACTAGCTGGTAGAAGTTGGGGTGTGTGTTCTGTGTGAGAAACAAGGCTCCCCAAAGGTCTGGACATTTGGTGATGGTGGAGTGGTGGCAACATTTAATTGCCATGGTTCCCAGAGCTTGGGGGCTGCTACTGCCCCTCCACTGCCAAACTTCTGGCCCCTTGGGAAGTCTGCTGGCCAGATAATAAATCAGATTGCTCTGAAGCCCTGGCTACAGTGTACACCAGCGGGGCTACACTGGGGTTCCCCCCAAACACCACAGTGTGTCTGCAGGCTGCACCAGCAGGGCACACAGGTGTAGCC